AGAGAAGAATATAGCTTTAAAAAAAAAAAAAAAAGAAAAAAAAAAAAAAAAAAAAAAAAAAGAGGGGGGGGGGGGGGGGGGGGGGGGGGGGGGGGGGGGGGGGGGGGGGGGGGGGAGTGTGAAACACAGAATGGAAAATGAAAGAAAAACCTGAAAAACAGAACGGAAAATGAAAGGAAAACCTGAAAATCAGGTCATGCGGGGATGGATAGGGAGGAAGAAGCACAGAACGGAAGATGAAAGAAAAACCTGAAAAACAGAGAAATCCAGAACACAAATGCATTAACGAACAGCGAGCTTCTCCAATGGACCACCACCAGAAGTCACAAAACAACACAGTAAAATCCGTTCAACAGATTTTTTTTTATTTTTTATTTTTTCGGAAAGCTTTAAACTTTAATGGATGAGGCCGAGGACCTCACAATTCAACCCGGTGTTATCCTGGCAGCCTCAGCCAGTTTAGCTTTAAGAGCTCCGCTCAGATATCCTTTTTCAACAGATTCATAAGACTTCGGCAGTTAAAAACACCCAGAAAAGAAAAGAAAAGAAAAGAATCGGATTTATACGATCTAGGCAGTTAAACCTTAAAAAAAAAAAAAAAAAAAAAAAAAAGGACAGAAAGAGAAAAGTCGCATCGGCTTCATAAATCAGTGGCAGCAAGATTGTCCCAACCCCCGTTTTTCCAGTCCGCGCCTAGCCATCTCAGCTATATTGGTTTAGGGTTTTGGATCTCTTGCTGGTACATGTCACGCCGTTGATCCTACAAAAAAAATAAAACAAGAAATAAAAAATTAACTGCAGACTTTCCACAGAGGCTAGATACTGCAGAGTTGTAACAACACCATAGCTTCAACCTTTTCACCGCCGGAAGGACAAAAATTAACGACGCCCCTTATAGCAAAAAATCTCAGCCGCCGAATTTCCTCGACAGCAAATAGACCACGCTTCCGCTTCCGCTCCCGGTTGGTTCCCAAAGGAAGCTATCTTCTCCGTGCCTTTATTGTCGCACGAGCGGGCCAGGTTGATGGCTGAAGGAAGCTATATACTCTTCGTTTCGTCTCTTCCATTTTCGAACGGGCGGGTAGGCAAGGCAACAAGAAAGGGGGCCCGGGAAAGGACGAGAAAGCAAACAAGGGAGGGAATGCTGTGACGAGGAGAAAAGGGGAAGGGAAGGGGAGACGATGTGAATCCAGCGCCAAACCAGAGAAGAAGAAGAAGAGCAGGAGGAGCAGAAACTACAAACGAAAGGAAAGGAGACATGGAGAGGAGGAGGAAAGAAGGAAGGTAAAAGAGGAAGAAGGAGAAGAAAGAATGGAAGAAGGGAGGAAGTGGGGAGGGGAGGAGGGGAGGGACAAAGGGGAGGCAGAAGGGCGGGGGGTGTGTGTGAGAGAGAGAGAGAGAGAGAGAGAGAGAGAGAGTGTGTGCGTGGGGGGGGGGGGGGGGGGGGGGGGGGGGGGGGGGGGGGGGGGGGGGGGGGGGAGAATGAAAGAACTGACGAAGACGAGGAAAAGGCAGAGTAGGAGCGAGTGTCTAGACGAGTAAGAGGGCGAGAGGGACATAGGCCAAGAAGCACATGCGTCTTTCACGGTAAGGGACGAGCAAGTTGGGGGCATCACTGCGGGGCGGGGCGCGCAGAGAGGGGGGAGGGAGGGGAGAGATCAGACAAAAGGTGGAGGGGAGAGAGGACCAGCCCAAGTCAGGATAGAGGAAAGGGAGCAGGAGAGAGGAGGAGTGGATGGACAAAAGGAGGACAGGACGATGGGAGGGAAACAGATAGGTGCAGGATGACGGGTGACTGATCTGTACACGGAAACCCAGAGAGCGAGGAGGGAGGCAGAGAGGGAGGGAGGGAGGGAGGGAGGGAGAGAAGCAGGGAGGGCGGGGGGGAGGGAAGGACAGGCGAAAGAAATGGAGGGCAAGGGAGGAAGGAACAGAGGAAGGACAGGAAAAAAAAGGAAACGACGAAAAGGGTGGACTTGGGTTGCAGCTGACCTGTAGGATCAGGAGGTGCAGAAGGAGATGTGTATTCTCCCGCCCTCACTCAGCAAATCCGCCCCATCGGCTGCCATATCCACGTATCCCTACACATGCAGGAAAACAAAACCGTACGAAAGGGAGAACGGGGAAAGTGAAGGTGCATCGTCTATGTCACTTCACGATATTCTTACTTAAACATCTACCAAGTAGTTAGCGGTTTCCCTGTTATATGTAAAAAGACCAATCATGAAAGTTCAATCTTTGACCAAAAAAACAATACCATCAATACAGACAAATAAGTAATCGGCTAAGCCTGCACCCATGAAAACTCAGGTGTGAAAAACAGTCATCATAAGAGAAGACATAAAGAACAGTGAGGATCGAGAGGCAGAAAAAGCAGGCTAAAAGAGAAAACTGCAAGCGTTCGACTGAAACACGTTTGCGAGGTAAGTGACGAATTGCACATGGGGTGGGCTTCCCCTTTTTCCCGAACCAGTACGCCACAAAGAACTTTCAGTTTGTCAAAGCAAGGAACCGCCACCAATCACATTCCAAAGTCACCTCTCTCTCTCTCTCTCTCTCTCTCTCTCTCTCTCTCTCTCTCTCTCTCTCTCTCTCTCTCTCTCTCNCTCTCTCTCTCTCTCTCTCTCTCTCTCTCTCTCTCTCTCTCTCTCTCTCTCTCTCTCTCTCTCTCTCTCTCTCTCTCTCCCCACAAGGTAACAATGAGCAACCATTGCTATCCGGCTATGTGGTGACAATAGCCAATATCCAATCGACTCCCACGCTAGCCAAACACATCACCACCATGGTCGACAGGCAAGCAGTCCCGATATAGCCAACTATCGACGTCAAAGAACAGACAAGAGCTACCAGCCCCAGCCAAACACCACAATATCCAACCATATTCATGGCTGCAGAATACCCAAACACGTCGCCATAACAGCCAGCCGGAAACCATCAAAACCAGAACGAAAACAACCAGCTCGCTCAAAATAGCTAGCACAGGTCTTGTCAAGATGACAAGTCGTTCTTACAGCAGCTTTCCAGGCCCCTACTCTCGGTGGACGAGTCATGCCTCGCGCCCCCGCGCCCCCGCGCCCCCGCGCCCCCGGGCCCCCGGGCCCCCCGGCAACGAACAAACGGGCGTTCACTTCTCCCGGTTGCTCAAACAGCCACGCTATCATATGATAGCCAACCCAGTTCAATTCTGGGATACCGTTCTTTTAACTATACAGGACTTCACAATTACAGTAGAATTATTAATCGGGCAAGTGATTAATTTCTGATCCATTGATCGATTGACTGATTAACTAAATAATCGATCACGGGCCATAGCACGTCCATTAAAGATCACGCTGGTTTCACAATGAAGCTTCCTTGTCCTTCCGCTCCTGGGATACTTCGTGCAGTTCCCGACCGTCGCGCTGTGACTGTGCCCGTCTGTGTGCGAGAGAGAGAGAGAGAGAGAGAGAGAGAGAGAGAGAGAGAGAAAAGCGAGAGAGGAAACGATGTACCAGACAGACAGTCAGGATCTTCCGGCTACCATTGCTAGACAACCTCCTTCTCCGCGATCCCACGACAAAACGGCCAGGTCGATGTTACTATACTGCCCAAAACATCCCTCCTCCTCGAATATAGGTGCGAAAATGATCCAGGTCCTTTGGGACATCCGTTAAAATTGGAACGATACAGAGAAGATTAGCATGGTCCCTGCGCAAGGATGACATGCATAAATCGAGAAATGGTCCAAAATTTCCCCCCCCCCCAAAAAAAAAAAATCCCCCCCAAAAAATATAAAAAATCCCCCCAAAAAAAAGAAAAAAAAAAAAGGATCCAGTCAGGCCATCCAGGCTGATTGGCGGAGGAAAGTGAGACCCCAAAGCCCTCGAGGAATGGCCCCAAATGTAGCCCAAGCGCATGGGGACTTGGGCCCTTCGGAAATCTTTGGTGCGGGTTGAACGTACTCAGCTGCTCTTCTGCCCCTGGTTACTCCAGGGGTAGGTAGGGGTCTATCTCCTCGGTGATGTACAGTACAGTAATTTTTCTTGCCACCTGGGGCGTGGTCCCACTAGCAAAGAGGATGGGATCGAATGACTGAATCTGGACGTGTTTGTGGAGAGGTGCCGGAAATCGAGATTGAACTGCTTTTCTGCATCTCTGCATAAAACATGTCCACATTCAGGCATTCGATCCTGTCCTCTTTGCTAATGGGACCTCGGCCCTGGGCGCTCGGTTGCTTCGGCTACGTTTGGACCAGTCACAGTAGACAGGCAGAAGAATTGGGTGCTCGGTGGAGGAGGGAGTGCTACGTCGTCCATTGGAATGCTAAAGCTGTGATTCCTTCCGGTTTCAGGGGGCGGGGGATTTTAGCGGAGTGTTGTTTAGCTCAGGATTAGGCTAGGCTGGTCAATTCCTTGTTTGATTGGTAGGTAGGTGTCAATCCTACCCTACAGTAGGAAACTAGAATGGTTGTATTTAGTGTAGTAGATAAGAGTAATTTAGCTCGAGGGTTTTGGTTTGTTAAGCAAGGTTTTGTTCGCCCGCGACGGCATTATATGCGTAGGATAGACCCAGGGTTTTTTTGGTGCTTGCTTGCTGGTTTGTGTGGGATTTTTTAAGGCCTCGAGGGCCTTGTCATTCCCAGGGGTTGGCGAGCTACTTTCACTGCAGCGGTCTAAAGATGTGGCCATTTCTGTCCTGGGTACTCTCCCAACGCCTGCACCTAAGCTTCGAAAATGGTTTCCAGAATGACTGTTTTCCGGGTTGTTTGTGGAGGGATCCCTGGCCTCCCCCTTTTTTAATTTGGACCATTTCTCGATTTATGCGTGTCATCCTTTAAAGCACAGGGGCCATGCTAATTATACCCTTCTCTGTATCGTTCCAATTTTAACGGATGTCATGAATGAAATGCAAAGTTGGTGTGAAAAACGAAACGAAAAAAAAAAACAATGATCCTGTCCCCGCATGTTCTCTCGTGAACACGGTTGTGGCTGCTACGGGGTTCCCCGTATGCCTACAATTAGGAGTAGTGGTAGGTAGGTAGTGTGAGGTGAAATTGAGAGAAGAATATAGCTTTAAAAAAAAAAAAAAAAGAGAAAAAAAAAAAATGATCCTGTCACGAGGTCCACCCTTGGTCATAACCCCAGGTTCAATTCTCGCCGGAAGACCGGGGTAAAAGTTATAAGCCAGTGGTAAGATGAACTTGGTATTTATCAGGGCCAGGTTCACATGAACCGACGATTGCCATTTGCCAAACCGTTCAGATCAACTACACCGTAAGTGTCGTCAAGCTGTTTTTTGCTGATTCAATTACATCAGCAGACGGCGGTATGTATGGCTCAATCAATGCTCATCCTCATGGTGGCTACCGTGTTCGCCCGAACAGAACGCCCAGTCGTTATTATAGCTATATATTTGGGGCAACTGGCAGTCTAGATACAGCGATAATGCCCGGGCGTACTATTCGGCTGAAGAAGGTGGCGGTAGTACGGACATACGGTACGGAGTACGGCACTTGTACGACGATCCTGCCGGTTCGTCCAGACAGTGCGCCCCACACTCAACGTCAGCAACCTGTACGTTCGGTCGTTAGGGCACCAGCAGTCATTGGGGACGTCCTGAGGACGAAAAGAGAGGGAGGGAGCGGGAGCGGGAGCGGACCCCTGATCAGGGCGGACGTGGAGGAAGAGGAGGCATTCCCGTCCCCGTACTGATGATCCTGAACTTACCGTGACGCAAGTTCAAGGCTGCTCATGTACAGTCAGCGTACCCGATGCATCAACGAGTCGCCATCGGGTGGATGGGAGCGTGGAAAAGCTTCCAGGAAAAGTCTCTGAGGCCCGGAGATCGCAATTCTGCAAAGGGGCAGAAGACGAGACGAGGGCGGGAGGAGACGAAACAGCGACAGCTAACAACGGAGCTCTCTCTCTC